TGTGTAGCTCCTTGCCCTTTGAATCATCACTGCCCCTGAAAATCTTCCTCACGCAATCTAACTCCTTTATCAGTGTTTCGTGGCTCCAATCCTTGGCACAGTATAGAAAGACATCCTTAACGAACCCGAACATTTCTGAAGCATGGCCGCATCCCATGCAATGAAATTGCATTTCAGTAGTCCCGGATGGTCCCTTGATGCTAAGACCTGATTTTATAAGGTTCCTCTGAATACCACAGGCAGCGTGGCACCAATGGGAACAAACATCGCAACCGACCCAACTGCAAGTATTGCTAGCACAATCGAAAGTCAAGCAGACAGGACACATACAAGAACTGCAAAACCCTTTATTTCCAGAGCATATCTTGCAATCACAGTCATCAACAGGCAGTAGACTGTTGCAATTCAGATTCCTACATCTGTTAAACAAGAAAATCTCCACCAGCTCGGTCATGGGAAGTCCTACTTTGCCAGACAAGAAGCTTTTAAGCCCCATTTTCACTGCAACTAAGATTTCTAGTTGACCCTTACAGCACCTTGAGAGTGTCTCCTTGGTAAGATCAGATCTCCTCTCAAGCCGGCTTTGAAGTCCCACTAATTCTTCCTTCCTTTCTGGGGTTGCTATAAGATTCCTCAAGTACTCTTTGGTCAATTCAAGTGTTTCATCAGGCAGCTCCTGCATCATTTGAGCCACGGCAAGTATCGACTCGGAGACGATCTCGAGAAGAATTCTTTCTGGTCTAGAAATCTTCCTGGATCTCCCTCCATCCATACTGTCCAAAACTCTCCAATTCTCTGAATCCCTCCTCCTAGAATCCCCTGAATGATTATCTACACCCGGCTTAGCAAGCAATTCCGACGGAAAAAAGGAATGATTATCCGAACTAGTAGTCTTATGGAGACTATTGCAAGAATCCTTATTCACAAGACGGTTAACCTGCTGCATCATGGACAGCCCCCCACTAACACCAGCACCGGCCAAAGCAACTCCATCACCAACCGGCCTAAACCGACTATGAACCGATCCATTAGTACCCTCACCACCACACCAAATTTGATCATCTTTCCCCACAGAATACTCGTAATTCTGTGTCGAATTCCGAGTTAACGAGCAGCTAGGATTATGCGAAAACGGAACAGAATAAGAGTATGACAATGAAGCAGCAGTGAAATCATTCGAACAAGTGGTTTGCGTGTTATTGGTGGTAGACGGTGCCAAAGACTGAACACTCCTGCTAGGCCTAGACCGATGCTGTGTGGAAGGATCGCCATTTTGCAAAGCATTCGAAGCAGTTAAAGAGAGAGAGACATCAGGTAAAGCTAGAGAAAGATTCAAAGTCTCGAGCTTTGGCCTCCTCTCCCTATTGAAATTCTCTCTTTCATGAAAATCTTCCTCCGCATCTCTTTTGGAAGAAACCCCTTTGCTTTCACTCAAATTCAAGAAATCCCTTTCGACCCATTTCTCATCTTGATTTGAATTCTCGGAATCAGCAACTTCTTTCCCTTTGTAAGTTTTTCCGGGGAACTCTTTCTCGGAAACAAACCCCAATTTAGGGTTCTCACAGAGGTAGCTAAGGGTGAGTTCTTGGGAAGATCTGGGTAAAGGGCAACCTCCATCAAGACCCACCTTTGATTCTCTGAGAAAATCAATACCCTTTTGTGAAAACCTCATCTTTTCAGCTGGACTCTCCTTGTTTTGAAACAAACGTGAAAGCTTGCTTTGAGAGCTTTCATCTCTTACACAAGGATTATTACTCGAGAGATCTTTCTCTCCAAACATGGCCTTATCACGAGCAAAAAAAGCGGAAACGATAAAGCCAAAAGGAAGAGAAACTTAACTTACCAGAAAGAAAGGAGGGGATGGAGCAGAGAGTTGGAAATTTTCTAGAAAAGAACATGAGGGATGCCTTATTTTTGGCTTTTGATTATGCACACTAGCACGCCATTAGACACTGCAACATGTAGGCTTGGAAACTTCAAAGTGTCGTGTTCACACCATTGACAAAAACTTTTTTTTAATGACAGATACTTATAGAGTAAACTACAGCTTAAACTGTTAATTTTAATCTATTTTAACATCTAAATTTTTATTTTTTTTAAAAAAATATAACGTTAATTTTTTTAATGAAATATTAAAATAAAATAAAAATTAATCATTAAATATAATTTAAAAAAAATTAAGTATTAAAAAGGATCAAAATTAATAATTTAGATATTAAATATATAATTTATCTTATTTTATATAAATTAATTGAAATAAAATATTATCAAAATTTATTATGATATCACTTTCACCTTAATTTATTTTTCTTGCAACAATATATTTGAATACTAATTTTATTTAAAATTATATGTATGCGTATATTAAGAAGAGGTAAGGGCGGGCAAAGACATCGGATTTGGACATTATCGGACCATTAACGAATATGTACTTAATACTTTTTATTTTCAAGTGCTAGCGAGCTTAGCTGTCTTATCTACCTGGCTGATATACTTTTAAATTATTATTTTATTTATAATGTTAATTGATTTTTAGGGAGGGTTTGAATAGGGAATGTGAGATTTTTATGGGAATGAAATTTACATTCTTCCGTTTGATTAGTTCAGGAATCTCATTCTCGGTAACGTTAGATTATCAATAGTAGATTTTTTAGGTATATTACTGGAATGTTATTACCTCTATTTCCTTAGGTATTGTTAGATTCCTGACGTTTTGGACTAAAATGCTCTTAATTTTTTTTTAAATATCATTTTTCTGTCATTGAATAATAAAAATTCAACGAAGGTTAAATTACAAATTTATCCTTAAACTATTTTAGATTTACAAAAAAAATCTACAATTAAAATTTTATATGAAGTTTAGGGTTAAAATTAAATTTTACCCTTTCATTAAACCTTTTTATATTTTCAATTTTGTAAAAAAAAATTATATAAATTTTATGAATTTAAAATTTTAATGAAAATGTATAAATTTTTTTTAACTTGTTAAAAAAATAAATATATAATAAGGACAATTTGGTCAAATATACATTCTAATAATCTTTTATTCTTTTAACCAAACACGATAATCTTAGATTCCTGGTAAGCCAACCAAACACAAAATACAACATTTTCAGTAATTCTATTCTCTGGTAATCTTACATTACTACTGGTAATCTTTCATTCCGTGAGCCAAACGCATCTTAAGATTAAGGAAGATGGTATATTTGATTAAATTATTTATTATTGGGCAGTCCAAATCCAACAAAAAAAAATCAAGCACAGTATTTGATTAGGTTAGGTTAGGAACTAGCCACCCCAATTCTTGCAGGTATAAAGTTGAAACTTATTTAGGAAATTTTACTTCATTCTATTATAATTTGTGTCTTATATTAATTAAAAATATATTTAATCAATAATAATAATAAAATTATCTCAGAAAGGTGATTGATAAATTTGTCAAATTTATTTTAATAGATATAAACATGTCAGTCCCAAAAGATATAAAGACCTGTGCTATTTTTTAAAATGAGTCTCCTAAATATTTTATAAGAAAATGAAATTATTAATTGAGGCCCCTAGAATATTTTTTCGGTTAGAAATCATGATTTTAGTGAGGATTTTAGAAAAAAAATATTACAATTCATTTACTGAGATAATAGAAGAGAAAACTAAAAGATTTTTTTTTAAAATCTTATCATGAAAAATTAATAAATCAATGATAGCAAATTTTTTGGAAAAATATTTTTTTATTAACATATTTTTTTAAAGTGTGGAGCCCCCTAAAATTTTGGGTCATGCGATATATCACACAATATACATTAATAAAGACGGGACTAGATGTAAAATAATGAGTCATATAAGAGTAAAAAAGTAAATATAAATGTTGTTATTTGTTAATTTTTCTAATAAAATATTTTGAATGAGATAATTTAAAAAACAGAATAGTCATTTAGTGGGACAAAATGAGTACTATTTAACATCATTATCCATATATTATATAAAAGATATAAAATTTAATATATTTATTTAATTTATAAATTAAAATAAATTAAATAATAAATGTATTATCCAAAAAATATATATGATTTATAGCAAGAATCTTGTGACAATGTATGCTTTGTTGTAAAGTACTAATATGATTTACCTCAATATTAGTAAATAACGCCGAAAACCAATAATAACAAGGGTAATTTGTGTATTTAGTCAACTAACTATCACTTTAATTTCATGTGTTCACTAACTACTTTTTTCAAAATCATACCTATAGTTACGCTTTGGTTCTGTTTTGATCACCCGTTGTTAAAAAATTAACGGTGATGCTAAGGTGTTATCATAAGGTAATATCAAATCATCATTGAAAAAATTGACACATCATCAGTTCGTTAGCGGGTGACCAAAACTTAATGTTAAATATAATTTTGAAAAAAATAATAGTTGGATGACCAAAATAGAACCAAAGTGATAATTAGTGATTAAATATGTAGTTTACCATAATAATAATAACTTTTTTTAATCAATATATATGAGGTAAGTATAAAATATTATCCATTCAAAAATAATTCTTAACCATTTGACATTAAACGCTCGTACCCCTAATAATAATAACTAGATTAAGATTATAACTACGTTTATAAACCATTTGACATTATGTGAAATTTAGCGCAAAACAAGTGACTTCCTTAGTAAAGGAATTGTCATCATTCCTTGAGGACTCGAGTTCGAGCATCGAGAATGCCATATGTGTGAGCGTTTAATGTCAAAAAATTGATAGTTATCTTTGAACAGATACTACCTTGTGTTTACCTAATTTATTATTGGAGTGAAGTATCCACTTATTCTCTCCTCTTATTGTTTATCTCTTTTTCATTGATGTCTTGAAATTATGCTAATTCCACGTTTGTCATATAAAAAGAGTTAAAACGCTTAATTTGACATTGAAATTATGCTAGTCCCAGTCTAATTCTCAATGCTGCTATCGGGAAAGACAATAGCTTTTATAACCATAATATGCAGATCAGCAGGAAAAAACGCTAAAAAGAGTTTTATTAAATTAAAGAAATCTAGCAAAAATAATCTTAGGAGCTAGCAGCCATTGCTAATGCACCTCACTATACAGAGTGAGGTACAACGTAATCAGTATTTCGTTTCGATGAAATCGAAAAGAAACTTGAAAGAAAAATATTAGAGCTTCAATGTAAGATCGAGCGCAGATGTATCTGTTCTTGGGGATGATGCCATTGCTATATGTCCTATGTTCGAACTTCGAGTTGAATTTTGAGCCAAGTCCAATGCCTGGTTAGTGTCAACTTTTTTATCTTCATTCACCTGCCTGAAACTCCCTGGCCAGAACAAGTCTACATCATCATCTTCCAGGTATAATGGCAATCCGAAATACCCTTGATCGAACCGAGCACCGTTTCCCGTATCCATAGGCCTATTGGATGATGGCATGAACCCTTGGTGCATAGCGGAATGAGCTTTGATCCCGAGGGATCGGAATGTCAACCCGTGAAGGGGCAGAGATGCTAAGCTTGTATACCTCTCGGATGATATCCCCATCCGCATTGCACGCTTTGCCATTGTCCTTTCCCTCTTATGAGCATTTTGGTGTCCACCCAGTGCTTGTGAGCTATAGAACTTGCGCCTGCAGTAGTTACAAGAGAAAACCCTCGCCGTTGCCGCTGGCAAAGTGTCGGTAGCCGTAGTCTCGCCCGTGACACTCTTCATCTCAGCATCAGTGGCACCGGAGTGCAGGGTCAGGTTGAGGGAAACAGACCCCGAATCTGGTTGAACCTTCACAGTAGTTGTGGTATCCGTCGCGTGATCCGGGGAAGCCGATATGTTCGAAGCCACTTGGCTACTTGATTCGGAGTCGTTTTCCAATTCTAACCCGGGGTTTAGCAGAATCATTCTCAGGTAAAGCAGCTGAGTTTCGTGCCGGTTCTGTTCGATATCCGGTACAGATTGCTACACCACTAACAAGTTAGCTCTTCAAGACCTGCACACAACTTGAATATAAGATCATAAGAAACATAGGAACACAAATACAGTGATACAAAGATTCGAAAATCACAGTGCAAAGAGCAAACACTATACATACATACATACATACATACATACATACAAATAGCAAAGAATCACCTATAATTTCTCATACCGATGTCCAATTCTAAAAAACAAGGGTGTGGGTGAATAAGCCGACATGCATGGAACTGACGAAAGAAAATCCGAAGCTGAAAATAGTTGCAAATTTTAAAATGATAATAAAAAACAACACTGCAAACACTGAAAGCTTAAAATCAGTAACACAACAGAAAGAAAATCAAATCCATGACCTATGAGATGATTGTGAAAAAAGATTCTTACTTGGCATGATATAATACTTTGTAAGCTACGAGCTGAATCTGTGGGTGCTTTCTTTTTTCCCTTCTGTTTTCTACCACAGATAGTACATTGATTATTCAAGATGAAAAAGAAAACAAATGGGGATAAGATTAGCCGGAGAAAAGCAGGTGTACGATTATGGGAAAGGAGAGGTTTGTGAGGGGGCAAAGTCAGAGAATTCACAAATCCGGAAAAAGATAAAACACACTACCAAGTGTTGGTTGAATTATGGGCTCTTCCAGTGTTCCAATAGCTACAATTCAATGAGTGGAGAGAGAAAATAGGGATAGGTATGTACCATTACCTATGTACCATTACCTAGGGATGCACACGATAAACTCATGAGCGACTCGAATTTCACTCGCTATCGATTCGGATTGATTTGATTTAAATTTGAGTTTGATTCGAGACCGTAACAAGTTTAGTCGAATAAAATAAAATACAATTTAACTTAATAAGTTATGAATAGATAAAATAATTATGTTAAAAATTATTTAATTAAATAAAACTATTAATTTATGAATAGATAATAAAAAAATATGAATAACCAATATATTAAATCTTTAATAAATAATAAAAAATTACTAAATTATTAATTAATATTTAATACCCAAAAATCAAACCCTATTTTTTATTTTAATGTATTTGTAGATTATTACTTTATAGTTTAGACATTGAAATTGTTTCATGTATTCCTTTGTTTTTTTGTTACATTTATTAATTTATGTTTATATTAAGCTATATATATATAGTATTTATATTTTACTTATAATTAAAAAAATAAAGTAGAAATTTCAGTGAATTTAACGAGCAACGAACATCGAGTTTAATAGGCAACAAACATCAATCTTAACGAGCAAAGAGTCAAGTAAAGTTTTAACAAACTTAACGAACAACAAATCGAGTCGAGTAACAAATTCTTTTAATGAAAACAAATCGAATATTGTCTAACTCGTGATTAACTCACTCGATAAGTATCCTACCATTAACAACACAACAGAGAGAAGTTTGTGTTCAGGTTCTTCTTCCCATATGGAATTTGCAGACCAATATAGCCCATTACAAGGTCCATGGGTCCAGTTGCATTGCTTGGGTTCTATTTCAATTTGGTAGATCGATGCAAGATATTGTTGTCCAAACGGAACATGCATGTTCTCTGCCTTGTCCTCTATTTCATTGCCAAAATGAAGAAAACTAACACAAATGATCGTGCTAAAGTACAAAGTATACATGACTTGGTCCATGTTATGAATTCAAACCTGTTATGATTGTTTCTAGCAACTTGGTATCTGGTTGCCCCAATTGTCATGTCACCTTCAGCAACTTGGGAATTGTATGGCTAAGCTCCAACCACATGCTTTTGCTTTTAAAAGTCTCACGGTTCATGAGTAAGTTTTTTTAATATTAATTCAGGGTGTTTTTAAGTGGTAATATATGTTTTAAAGAATATTAATTATTTAATAATAAACGTTTAAATACCCTACTTCAGTCTTCGATGCTCGAACTCGTAATGATAAAGCCTTACACCCCGCATATTTGATACTATCGACTCAAGAACCATATCTTTGGCAATGATAAAACCAAACTCTCCAGAATAAGAATTCAAGTAATTCCATTTGTTCATATAAGTTGCTGATTTCACTTTCACGTGTCTAAAAAAGTGACAAAAATGATTATGGAGTAAAAAAGAAAGGTACTTTACGAGAAGGTCCCTTACATTTTTGCATACATTGGACGAATGATTAATAATAATGACAATCAAAATAATCAAATAAAGAAAGAAAACGTCATCGTATCTTTGTTCTATTGTGTTTGAGAAGATTTGCAGGCTTTGTCAATAAAAATGACAGGCACCTACCGTATTCGAATTGGATTTCTTTCTTCTTTTTAACATCTTTCAAATGATATATATACAATGTTAAACGAGTGAATATATATATATATATATATATATATATATATAAATAAAGCAATGACACGTAATGCAAGTGGACGAGGTTGAAAGTTGTGGCATTCATTAAGAATTGGAAATGGAACAGTGTACGTGACAAAGACATGATTGGTTTTCATAGGTAAATGAAAATTAAGACATGCTTTTTTGTCCCCAAACGTAAATACGTTCTTGGCTTTCATGTAGGAAACTTGACCCATTACATCAAACAATTAGATATGTTAGATATACGGTAAGATTACACCCAAGATTTGATTAAGATCGTTTTGACATTTTCGAGGTTATTCATCCCTGGAAAAACTGAAGTAAGTCGTGTTCGGACAATAATAACTCACGGAAGAAATACGTACATGTACCACATATATTGTGGACTTAGTCTTCTAAGCGATATTGGGGGTATAATGAAGTATTATTTTTTAAACTTCTCAGATTTGAGTAGATACGTTTGTAATAAAGATGAGTACGAGTCAGATTTTCGGTCAATCCTATCCGACCTAAAAATATATAGTCTCCACCCGAAATTTGATTAGACCCTAGTTTAAGTATAGCTTCACCCAACTTGAACCCGATCTGACTTTTTGAGATAAAACTCAAATATAACCTGACCCGAAATAAATATATTTATAAAGAATATAATTTTTCCAATAAAAATAGGGATGTAATTGAAATAAATAACACATAGAGTTATTATTGCAATTATACATAAATATATAAGTAAATTTATATTATTTTTGGGTCAGGTAGGGTCGGATATTTTTTACTCTAAATCCAACTCGACCCGTCCCGAATATATTTTTTTAAAAAATATGACCTGACCCGAACCTGAACCCGAATTTAAAAAACCCAACTCCATCAGTCAGAACCCGTCGGATTTGGGTCTCACGTCGACCCCTAGTTCGTAGAGTATGTGAACGATCAAAGACTAAGAAAGATATAAACATATATTGTCTTATAATACTTCGTACTATTAAAAAATATACAAAATAAAAACCGAAAAGTCAAATTGATTGAAAATAATAATAAAATAATCCAGAATTTTAGTAAAATAGAGGGGGTTAAAATATGCATTAAACCTAAATACTTTGAACTACAACCTTGTTGAATATTGAGTATATAGAAAGTAGATGGGGATGAAGCAAATGGGTAAAAATAACTCCAGGAGTGAAAAGATAATGGTATCAATCTCAAAATTATATAAATTTTGATCACATATATAAGATGTCATATAAATTTTGATTTGATGCAATTAATACCAATGAAACTCTAAAATTAATTAATTTATATATCAAATTACAGATTAAATTAAAGTTTATCTTAAAAATAATGAGGGCCATGAGAGAACATCACATGGCTCAATGGAAGGAAAGGCAAAGGGGGAAGAAGAGGGACCACAGCAGAGAGAATAGTATGTAGGCAGGGTGAAAGGCCAACGGCAGTGTAAATCCGAACTCAACCAATTAGGGCAGAGACCCACAGGGATGCTGTTGGAGGAAGCAACCACCTGCCCCATGTGAGGAGATAAGGACCTTTTATCATCATTTATTTGAACAAAATATGTACACTTTTTCTAAGGGAAAGTGATGGGTTTTGTCGGGATTCCCTGATCACTAGCTTCACCCACATGGTCCTCACCCACACTCTTTGAATGGGCTGTAAAAGTTTTTGACCCAAAAAGATGGCACAATAACTTACTTAGTCCCCTTTGTTTATGTCTCTTATCGATTTGACTCTTATTGCTGGAGCGAGTGTAACTCAATACTCTTTGTTAGAATGTGAGGTAATTCATCCCTAGAAAATATCACAAAATATACCGAGACATCTCGAGTTCTTGTGAGTGACAATGAAGAGACCCTTATTTGCTATAACGGAGACATCTCTACTCTTTCGGTCGATGTTATGGAGGAAGCAAAAAAGTTCATTCAATTAGAGAGGATCGAAAGTGTCCCAATGCTCTTGTTCGGTAGAGGAGGCGACTCAACATCCTTAGAGGAACTCAGTAGGAAGAGAAAAAGGCTTTTCAACGACAAATATGTGAATGAATTTTTGTCGATTTTATGAAAAAATATTCCGTAAAGAAGAACGAGGAGTGAAATAAAAACCTACGAGTTTTAGGTATAACTAACAAAAACTAAAGTAATGTTTCAAATACTAATAAAATAGTTATAAAATAAAGATCTTGTGTCTATTTCGTATATTATTCCTTTGAAAATTTGAAATTATTAAATTCAAATGTTTAGCAAACCAAATGCTTAGTAAATAGTTTTATTTGAATTAAATTCAAATAATAATTATAATTTAAAATTATATGAATTTAGATTTGAATAATATAAAAAATTCCAGGGCAATTGCCATCTCTATTTGGTGTGAACAAAAGAAAGGAATGAGATCCTTGGCCCTTAGCTATGTCGTTATCCCTAAGATATGTGAGTGTGATTATTGGACCACTCTCCCCTATTTTTTTTACTAAACTTATTTATCTTTTGGATTTTTTTATTTCTTCACATATTTACATTATTAAAATTATAATTTAAACTTTTGTATAGTTATATGCTTTTTAATTTTATTTCTTTTCTAGCAAGCATGAAGAAATAACAAACCAAATTCACATCACTATTAAATTACTCAATGACTTCTAGACTGTAAACGAACTGAACATTCAGCGAATCGTTTGACGGGAAGTTCGTTTATTTATTAAACGAACGAACATGAATATGATTTTATGTTCGTTTAATTAAATGGACGAACATGAACAAAGGGCTTGTTCATTCATTTGCGTTCGTGAACATTCATTAATATGTTCGTTCATTTATGTCCGTTTGTTTATATTCGTTTATGTTTGTTTGTTTAACCCAATCTCCAGACCGTTTGAAATATTAAGACCTAATAAACTTTAACATTAAACCCTTAATATTTTAAATTTCAATTAATTTTAAACCCAAATAAAAATAATCAAATCAATTAAAGAAATATAAATCCTAAAATTATTTGAAAAAGGAAAAACTCTTATCAAATATAAACTCAATTAATTTTATGTTCGTTTGTTTATGTTCGTTTATCATTTTAACGAACGAACATGAACATACTCTCGTTCGTGTTTATTCGATTCGTTTACAAACTGATGAATTCTAATCAATAAAATTTATAATATATCAATAATTAGTTAATGACATGGAATAAGGTTTAAAATTATATAAATAAAATTAAAAAGTTGAATTTTGATTAATCAAATTAAATTAAAAGAATTATTCCCCTAATAAAATTATGTAATATTTGATCAACTAAAAAATCTTTAATATTTTACATCAACATGGAAATTTATAGAATGGTTTAACGATATTAAAAAAAAGGGACAAAGAAACACAGACAAAAGGTGTGGGTACGGTTTTAAAATGCTATCCGAAAACTCCTGCAAAATAGTAGTAGTGTCGCTTTTCGAGTTACCCGTTACATCTACAATAATATCTAATAGTGCCACCAACGGCCGCAATAAAACCTGTATTGCGACGATCGAAATAACACCCGTAACAATCATAATTATGATAAACATAAAATAATAAAAAACGCGATCACGATCGTAATTTGAAACTTTAAAAATGGGTTACGAGAGAGTTTATGTGGGTTTTGTGTAGAAGGAAATAGGAAGTTGAAAACATTAGAAAATAGGAGCACAGATCAAAGGAGGTTTTTTTTTTATATTAATAATGATTCAATGCACTATACCAAGCTATTCTTGGTGTATAGGTAAAAATTGTTCCCTCTAAAATAACCCATCTCTCTCTCCAAAGGTCTTTCACTTGTTTTTTTCCCCCTTCTGGTCTTTGCCTTCTTGTGCTTTGCTGTGAGTGCTCTGAGTAAGTGTTTGTTGGTCAGTCTGCATAACTTGATTTTAATATACAAGCGAAAACAGTAAATGTTCTTATGTGTTTCTGGTCTTAAAAATACAAAACTTTCACGCTTGGGAGAGAACATGAGTAGGTATTCTCTTTGAAAATTCCATTTTTTAAAATGTTCTAAGAGGAAAAACGGGAGGGGTTGGGGAAGAAACCTTTTTTTTTTGTAGAGGGA